TCCCTAGCTAAACAAAATTTGAAAAATAATTATTATAATTAGCAATTAATTCAAAAGATTTCATTGGAAAAACATTAATTTGAGTAGGCTCTGAGTTGGGAACCAGAGGCCTGAAACATAGGACCCCTGAGCTGTGTGCAGATACAGGAGTTATATTTATTGGACTTTTTATTTATTTTATCTTATATATTTATTGGACACAAGTAATTGAATTTACACGCTTGCACTATACAACAGGGGACTGATTGGGCAAAAACCCAATCTAGTCCCCTATCCAAAATTATTAAATTGGTTAGAATCAAAAAAACAAAGAATTTAGGAAAGTGATTATACAAAACAAACACTATTTTACAACTTTCCTCTTAACATCAGAGCCCAATTCAATTTCAGGGCCACAAACCCTGCTCTGAATTGTGACCTCCTGTGCTTGGGATGAGTTGCAGATTTTCTTAATATTCCTCCAGAGTTGCAACTTGATCACAGAGCCATCCCTGCCCTAAAGTAGGGATCATTGCAGGCAACTTTTCGACCAGCATGCCAGCAAGCCTTCTCTGGTCTGGGAGGATAGTGAAAGTGTCATTGATGATTGGTGCAGTCTTGGTAAACTCCAGGGCCTTGGGCTCCCCCCTGGAATTCAGTTGCAACATTGTATCATCGGGGGCAGCGTGGTCAGATTAGCCTTTTGCTGTCAATCATCTGATAATAGAAATAATATTGGTGGTCCTAAGAAGTTTCCCGATTTTTTCTGCTTCAACAATGAAATAAAAGATCATGATTTTGATCTTCTGTTTGGTGAGATCAGTCATGGTCCATTTGTGAACAATAATACAAACCATCAAGATCATGTGATTGGAGATTTAAAGAGACTTGGAAAGTTTGCCAAAGGTTCTTATAATCATGATTATTACTTCTTCAAAAGTGAAGGATCAGATTATAAACAACTTCACATTCATTTGGATCAACTAGTAAAAGTGATGATCTATTTACACGAAACAGAAATTGATTTTATATATTAGATAGGTATTTTTATCCTTTCTATAGGATGTGTGAAGTAGAGACATTGTCAATTCCATTGTTCTCAGACATCCCAAAAACAAATTTAGTAAATTTGTTCAACTATGTGAAACATTATTAAACATTAATAATATAATGTTAAATAACATCATCATACTAAACAAATTAAATCTATTATTAAACCCAAGTCAGTCAACACCACCACATCAAATACGAACAGATGAAACACCTGAAACACCATCAACTTCAAACAGTCTGTTTATAATATACAATTCTTAATTGAATGATTGATAAACAAATAAATAAAAAAGCTTTTTTCTCAATATTTATAAATTGATTGTTTATTAGATTATTATAATAATAAATTAATGAATGAAACAAACTAGTTAGAATTATAATTAAGAAATTATGCTACGAATAAAAGCATTGTTTTAATTAACTAGAGCTTGCAATTTCAGCTACTTGTTTTTTGTGATGTTGATTAAATCTAGATATTATTTTTAAAACTTCAAACTATTTCAAAATTCTGGATTATTTTCAAAAATTTGAAACTCTGATACTGTTTTTAAACTTTAAACAACTATTTTGAAACTCTGAAATTGTTTTTAAAAAAATTTTTGTTTAATTTTATTTTTAAATTTTTAAAAATTTATCACGTGACGAGGATGTGGTGGATAGGGATGGGAACGGTTCCTGTCACGCGAAGTGACGAATAATATTTCCATAATTGATCCGTGACGATTAATATACTAAATTATAGGTGACAATTAATTTGTCTTGTTTTGGCAATCTAAATGTCACCTGTAATTTAGTATATTAATCGTCACGTATCAATTATGGAAATATTATTCGTCGCGGCGTGTGACAGGAACCGTTCCCATCCCTAGTGGTGGAGATTTTTGCAGATCATTCTATAAAAAAAAGATCGACATTTCAAGACGGATCGTCAATTAATAATTCTTTTTTTCTTTTTATAACATGACATCTAAGAACAAAAAAGAAAAGTAACTGCTCACAATGAAATAATTCATGGGTAAGTATTTATCAAAAGAATGGTGGTTATTGCCACTTGTCATCACTCTAGTTATTAATTTAAGATTATAGGGATATTCAATATGGTATAACTCTCAAAGATGGTGTGGTATAAAATGTTTGTATACCAATGCTTAAATCTAATGTGCTTCCCTTCAAGCCCTCCAAAAAGGGATTTAGAATAAAATTTTGTGTGTCTTGGTATGAAAAAATATGGGCCATACCATACCATATTATCTTTGAGAGTTATACCATACTGAATTTCTCCCTACTATTAATTTAGTCTCTACCAACCTTGTAATCATGTGTGATCCACTGTTCATTTTGCTACAGTATGCCCTATGTTTTTAATTATTTTCAAGAGGAATAGGCTCACATAAAGTTAATTTGGAAAATATTTTGTGAATTATTTATATTTACTTTATTCCAATAAAATTATATGAACAGGATATTGCTTTTATTAACAAAAAACCCTAACTCATGTGTAAATAATTGCCTAATTGAAACATTAAAAAAAATATTGCTTATTGAATTAACAATAAAATTGAGTTTGAATGATAAAATTATAAATATAAACAATACAAGATAAATTTAATGAAATGATTGTAATAAAGGGAAAATGAAAGCAAAAAAAGAATATAAATTATATTAAAGTAGCAATCATTTACTATTTAAAAGAAAATGAAAATCAACACTTAATGTATTTTCAAAAACAATGATATTGACTGTAATAATAATAATAATGAAAAAAAATACTTACCCCACTATTCATTATTTAAAATAAAATAAAAATCAACAGTTAACAAGGAAATTGACTGCAGTAATAATAATGATTAAATACTATTTATTATTTAAAATAAAAATCAACATTTAATATGTTTTCAAAAACAATGATATTGGCTGTAGTAGTAAATAATAATGAAATACTTGCCAGATACTTATTATTTAAAATAAATGAAAATCAGCAGTTAATGTGCCTTCAAAAACAATGATATTGACTGTAATAATTAATAATAATGATAAAAAAAAATACTTACGCTCTATTTATTTAAAATAAAATGAAAATCAACAGTTAATATGTTTTCAAAAAACAATGATATTGGCTGTAATAATAATGATTATGGAAATACTTACTTCCTATTTATTATTTAAAAATAAAATAAAAATCAACAGTTAATATGTTTTCAAAAACAATGATATTGGCTGTAGTAATAACAATAATGAAAATACTTACCAGCTATTTATTATTTAAAATTAAATGAAAATCAACAGTTAATATTTTTTCAAAATAATGATATTGGTTATAAAACAATGATAAAGAAAATACTTACGCTCTATTTATTAAAATAAAATGAAAATCAACAGTTAATATACTTTCAGAAGCAATTATATTGACTGCAGTAATAATGATGATGAAAATATTTACCCACTATTTATTATTTAAAATAAAATGAAAATCAATAGTTAATATGTTTTCAAAAACAATGATATTGGTGTAATTACAATGATGATGAAAATACCTACCAGCTATTTATTATTTAAAATAAAATAAAAATCAACAGTTAATATGTTTTCAAAGAAATGGTATTGACTGTAATAATAATAATGATAAAATCACTTACGGTCTATTCATTATTTAAAATGAAATGAAAATCAACAGTTAATATGTTTTCAAGAATAATATTGATTATGGTGAAAATAAATACATACGTTCTATATCTTTTATTAAAATAAAATAGTTAGTAAGTATTTTCATCATCACAATTATTTCAGTTAATATTCATTTATTATTTAAAATAAAATGAAAATCAACTGTTAGTTAACATGTTTTCAAAATAATATTGACTATGATGAAAATAAATATTTACGTTCTATTTATTATTTAAAAATAAAAATGAAAATCCACAGTTGACATTTTTTTAAGAATAATATTGAATGTAATAATAATAATGAAAATACTTACTCCCTATTTATTGTTTCATAAAGTTAAAATTGTCAGTAACAAAACAATGATATTGATTGGAATAATAATGATGATGATATTGGAAATACCTACGGACTATTTAAAATAACATGGAAATCAATAGTTAATATGTTTTTCAAAAACAATGATATAATAAATGATGATGATGATAAATACTTACTCTCTATTATTTAAAATAAAATGAAAATCAACAATTAATATTCAAAAATCATATTGAATGTAATAATGATGATAATGGAAATACTTACTTCCTATTTATTATTTAAATAAAATTAAAATTAACATTTAATATTTTTTCCCAAAAAAAATGATATAGACTGTAATAATAATGATGATGAAAATACTTACTGACTATTTATCATTTAAAATAAAATGAAAATCAACAGTTAACATTTTTTCAAAAACAATGATATTGGTTATAGCAATAATAATAATAATAATAATAATGAAATACTTACATTCCTATTATTATTTAAAATAAAATGAAAATCAACATTTTTCAAAACAAGGATATTGACTGTAATGATATTTATTGTAAATAATAAATGAAATACTTACGTTTCTCCAAACTATGATCAAACTGGTTAAAATCATCAATTGGTCTTGCTAAAGCAATAACAACAAAGGTAATCAAGAAGAGAAGATAAATATTGAATTTCATTTTGATTGCCCAGGAGGTCAGTTTAACTTTTTTCTTTGATTTTAAGTAAGGAAGGATATTTGTTTATGGTAACCCAATTTATTTTTTCGGTTATTCTTTGCGATCAGTAATTTCAATCCCCAGATAAGCCAACTTGCTTAAAATGATCCATTTTTTCTATATTACCGTTTCATTAACCAAAAAAAAATTAAAATTAAAATATAAAGGGTAATATTGTTCTCGGAACAATATTAAGGTGAACTGCTATCAGAATGCGAAATGTCACATTTATGTATTCTGCATAATCAATATAAAAGGAAAATCTTTCTTTTATTTTTTAGGGAATATTAAATATTTAATCCTTACAATAAAATATATACAAAATCCGAACAACGAACTAGTTATGGAATGTAGATTTTGCTATGATGCGTCTACAAGATTGGGTTAGGTACGTCACGATGCAATCTTTTTAATCGTTGGACTACATATTTTATAATGTTCGACAGTAAATAACTGATTTTATCCATATACGTATTCAAGTATACAATAGATTCTTATTTTTAAATTCACATATCACCTGGAAAAAAATCACGAGACCACAATTTTAAAATAAAAAATTGCCTAGATTGGAGCTATTGAACATTCACCACCACCATCAATTGTGGGAAAGTCAAAATGTTATGGCTGAAGGAGAGCAGGACTACAATCAAACCTCGATAAGCCAAACTTTTGAGCTTATCATTTATTAATAAATAAATTCGGCTTACAACGTTATAAAATAAAAATTATTCTAAACAAAAATATTTATCTATTGTTGCACGGAACTAACCTTATGACTTTGCATATATCAAAATCACATGGATATACTAAAATTTAATAATTTTCAACACCAATTATGGTATCTGTAATAGAAATTTTTGGAATAAAGGTTTCATCTATTTCTATTTCTGTTGGTTGAATTAATGCAATAATATCCTCGTCTTCCATTACTAATTCGCCTGCAACCATGTTATTTTCAATATTTAAATGCTCATCTGCTAAAAGTGAATCGTCAAATGGAAGTTGGTTAATTGAATCTTGAAATTCACGATTCTCTTGTTCAATATCAACTTCAACATTATTCAAAAATTCTAAACTTTCAGGTATGTTTCTAACAATTTTTTTATTACTGTTGACGTTACACTTCCCCATACTTTTTTGGTAAAACAAATAGCATCATATATTGTAACAGGAGCAACTGGCTTTCCTAATATCTGAGCTGTCTCGTAAGCTTTAATGCGATCATGAACCAATAATTTTTTATATTGTGCTTTAAAAGAATGAATAATTCCCGCGTCACACGGTTGTAAATGACTAGTAGTATTTGGTAAAAAAATTACACTTTTATATTGTTCAAAGTAAAATTTCATGATAATGAACTGGTGCGTTATCGACCAATAATAAAATTTTTCTCTCTTGAAAATGCATTTTTTTATCAAGTTTTTGTAGATAATCATTCCATATACTGACTTGTATCCATGCTGATTGGTTCCAATTGACAAATCGTTTTTATTTTTACCATTAAGTGAACGAGGATTTTTATATTTATATATAAATAATGGATCTAATTTCTCGCAACCTGTAGCGTTGCATGTCAAAAGAATTGTTACTCTATTTTTTGAATTTTTTGTGTCTGAAATTTTATTTGTAGCTAGTGTTTCGAAGATTATGTATTCCGGTATAAGCCTATTTCATCACAATTAAACACATCATGAAGTGAATAATTAGAAATCAAATTTTGCAACCTTTCCCTTTCTTCTGGAAGTCGATCTCCATGCTTGTTATACTGTTTAAGATTATGACGCAATTTGAATTTAACCATTCATTAGAACCCCAAAAATCAGTGATGTTAAATTTGCAGTTTGTGCTTGCATGGCCCATAATACTAGTGCTTCTTCAATTTCTATATATTTGAGGTCGTTTGATCCGTTTTTTGTTTTGGTTATCTTGATCATTTGGATCAACTGCTAGATATTCAGCTTTTAAGAATATCACTTACTGTATTCGGATAAATTCCAAGTACTTTGTTTAAAGTTTTTCAATTCTGTTCCTTTTTAAAACACAATTCTCTTTTTTGTAATAAAGTTAATGTAATTTTCGTATTTTTATTAGAAACTGACATGGTTAAAGATAGAAAGTAGAATTGACCATTTTTAAACCGAATTTTATTATAAGACGAACTTTAAAACCATTTATGATCATATTCGGCTTAGAAAGTTATATTTTTATTATTTTGTACAAAACATTAAGTTCGGTTTATCAAGTAAAGTAGAAATTATAATAAAATTCGGCTTAACGAAATGATTTTTATTAAATATGATTTGGTTAACCAATTTTGCATCGTTATAAAACGAAAATCGGCTTATGGTTTATGAAAGTCTTCGCAAAAAAGATTCATCTGGTATTCCTCTTCAATCAACAATTGCAGACAAGCTCTGTACCTTCCCAGACAGGATTTTCTACATATGTTGCTTTCATTTGATCAGTCATGGACTATTCAGTAACGTTTGAAGGTAATAAGAGACTGGCTTAAAGCACATACTGGAAAGATCAGAAACATGTTTGGGATGCTATTGAAAAGGTGATGATAATTGTTCAAGAAAAAAATCAAAAGCAAGAACCTGTCTGATGAAGTAGATTGGGTTTCTATCAAAATGTTGATAGAGACATTGGAATCCTTTGAAAGCAAAATTGGACAACAATCAGAATTAAAAGGGAAATTATCTTCATTATCTGAAGTAAGAAACCTGAAAGCAAAGTACTGCTGTCATTTGTGTTTGATGAAGTTAAAGTATTGACCAAGAAAAATGTGAATTGCAATAAGACAGATTATGAATGTTTACAAAATGCACCAGGTGGCCATATATTTGGTATTGTTACTGATACAGCATCCAAGATATCAAATTTTGCATCAACTGCTCATCATGACAATTCTTATCATGTTCAGAAGACTAGGATGGTTTTATACCTATCTTTTTATCATATTGCCACATTAGATACCTTTATGATAGCAGATACAGAGCCAGATATATTGAAGAAATGGATATGGTGGTTTGGTTAAAATCATACACACTGTCATAAAGGGGACTGGCTCCTACCAGATGGTTAATATTAACAAGGGAACATTACATTGGTGATGATTAAATTTTTGATCTCTGAAATCTTTTGTTCATTTTGTCTGGTGTTGTTTCTTTGCCCCATATAATTAATGAAAAGATACTAATAAAGAATTTTGCACACATTATGTATTAGTATTATCATTTGTAATAATAACTAGAATTTTTAATTATTTGCAAAAATAAATAACATTTTCTAAATGTTACATATTCAAATATCTTTTTATTAATTAATTATGCATTTTGGAATATCACTGATTTTCTAATCTTAGAAGTCCCAGCAACCAAGTTATATTAATGTTGTTGATAAATTAATTAAAATTAAAATTAAGTATTAAATATTAAATCTATAATTTTACCAGAAAAAATTTTATATATTATTATAAAATAATAATAATTAATAATTAATAAATAATATTCTAATGGAAAAAAAATAAATACCTATATCACCCAATTATTATTATTCTACATCTATATATAATTTCTATGCATGATTCTTTAATAAAAAGTTAATCTTATTTTTTTAAAAAAATATTAAATTAATAAATAAATAAAATTATGTACATTCATTAAAAAGATGAAAAAAGATGAGGGAAGGGGAAAAGGAAGATAAAAATGGAAGGAGATAAGAAAAGCAAAGTAAAGAATGTATAAGGTAAAGTGTTAACCAAACTGGATGTTCATGTAATTAAAATTGTCCAATTATTTAGTTGATAAATTTTATATATATTCCTCAATTTATAATTTTTCCCGATCTACGGAAGTTTATGATTAATTGTATTTTTCTTTAAAAATCCATGAATTTCCCATAGTACCATGACCTTGTTCATGTGCCAACCTGTAATATTTAGCAGCTAAATAATAAATATGGATATATTAGGTTAAATGATTGGTTTTTTCCCAATTATATTGATTAAAAACAAAAAAAAAAAAAACAAAAAATTTATTAACTACCAGTTTTCATATCCTTCTTTACTCCCTCGCCATTATAATAACAATGTCCTATTTCGTTTTGTGCATCAGGATCTCCCTAAAATAAAATTTCCAATAAACGATGAGAAAAATTATTGAATACTGCCAAAAGCGTATTAATAATAAAAATAAATTAATTTTTACCAAATCAGCTGCAATCTGAAAATAACGAGCTGCTGTAGACTTGCTTTTTTGAACACCCCAACCATGTTGGAAACAATTGCCTAATTCATAAATGGCTAAAACCAATTCACCTTTATGAGAGGATTTAGATATTGTTTCAATATCATTCTCGGCTACTTCGGCTACTTTGGCTACTTTTGAAAGATATTCAATGGCTAGTTGTGTATTTTTTTTACAACCCTATATGTATGCGAGTGTGTGTACGAGTTAGTATGTTGATATATATACTTACTGTATTGTATTTAATAATAGATTTTTATAATTACCCAGCCATGTCTCAAAGCTAAACCATAAAGAACCATTCCAACAGGTGAACCTTTATCAGCAGCAATACGAAAATATTCAGTAGACTTTTCAAGTCGATCTTCTTCATGAAATTTGATTGCTTGGACCACATAATCATCAGCTGTTAACAATGAATTTGAAACAGTGAGCGGTTCTGGAGTGTCTTTGAATGGATTATCTTTTCTCATAATCGGGGATGATTTTTTATGATTTAGAGGAGGTTGTGCTTGTAATCGAACAGATATTGGTTGAGATGGATCCATTGCACGGGGTTTTGTGACAAGTGATGAATTAAAATAAGGGTCAGGGAGTGATTCTTGTGAGTTAGATCTTTGATTTATATTCATTTTTGGTGGGTGAGGAAATTGATTATAATTTTGATTTTGCACTTGATTATAATTGTAATTATTACTGTTATTATTATTCTGGTAATTATTATTATAATTGTTATTGTTGTTATTATTATTATTATTGTTATTTGGTGACTTGGAATAATTCACGGGAGAAGGCGATATTGATCGCGAAGGAAATATTGAACGTGAAGAAAACGAAGAAGGTGAAGAAGGCGAAGAAGGCGATATTGATCGTGAAGAAGGTATTGACCGTGAATTAGGAATATTTAAAGAATTTGGCGATGGTGGATAATTGTTTGGTGAAGATGGTGAAGGGAGCGAAAATGGCGAAGAAGGCGAAGAAGGTGAAGAAGGTGAAGAAGGTATTGATCGTGAATTAGGAATATTTAAAGAATTTGGTGATGGTGAATAATTATTTTGTGATTGTTGATATGTTGGATACTGATGATATTGTTGTTGCATGATTTTCTGTTGTTGTTGGCGTTGTTGTTGTTGTTGTTGGTGTTGGTGTTGTTGGTGTTGTTGTTGTTGCTGCTGTTGTTGTTGTTGTTGCTGTTGTTGTAATTGATAATAATGATTAGGATTAATATTATTAGGGACTTGACGAGGACGCCTGTCATCTACAGCACCATGGTCTACCGTTGCTGGTCCATTTTTTAATTGTAACATGCTTTTTGTGTGTGTTTGTTTCAAAAAAAAATATAAAGAGGAAAAAATAATAAAATTAATGAATGAAAGTTTTATCAATTATAAATTAGTTGATTATAAATTACAATTTTGAATTGAATTGTCCAGTGGATTTTTAAAAGTAATAAATAAAATCATTGAAAAAAAAAAGGGAAAAAGAAGAAATAAATAATAATTTATAAAAAATTAAAAAATTTACATAAATAAAGCACAAGGAAACAATTAAGATCATTTATTGATAGTACAAACTATTGGATATGCGTGTATACGTGTGTATTCGTGTATCGGTCTAAAGATAGTTAGCAGCGAAGGGCGTTGTACGGGTTTGTGTTTGTGTTTATTATTAACATTGGCGTCAAATATGGAAAAGATAAGTGTTACGAGCTTAAGTGAATTTTTTAGCAAAATTTAACAACGAAAATGACAACTACGATTAATACAACTAATGCATCAAACACATCCAGTGCATCAAGCACACCTACTCATAGTAATGTACGTCGTAATCGTGGTAATATTCCAGCCAGACTTGACATCCCAGTAAATTCTTTGACACCCTCTTCGTCAGCTCCATCATCAGAGATTGCGGCTGCATTAGGAAGAATAACTCCACAACCGTCAGAAGAAGATGATGGAATCAGCACAATAATAGACAAGGTTACAATTATGAGTGTGACAGAAGAGTCAGTGGCTGATGAGCCGGTTGAAATGGACCAGACTAATTTAAGAGAGTTGGGAAGATTGGGTGAGGGTGCTAGTGGAACCGTATCAAAAGTTGAGAATATCATAACTGGAGAAATAATGGCTAAAAAGGTGTGGTTGGCTGTGATTTATAAAGTTTATTTATAATTTTGTATAATATGATCAAATTATATAAAAAAAATTTTTAGAAAATTAATGTAGTACCTGCTGATGAGAATATGCATCGACAAATTCTTCGAGAACTACAATTTCTTCGTACATGCCATTCACCAAATATTGTCACTTATCATGGAGCATTTCTGGAAGATAATAACTCATCGATTGCTATAATCATGGAATATTGCGAGGGTGGAAGTTTAGATGCCATATATAAAAATGTTAGTAGCAGAAAAGGAAGAATCGGGGAGAAGGTTTTGGGAAAAATTGGTGAATCGGTAATCTGAGAATTTATTAATTATTATTATTATTATTATTATTATTATGAAGGGACATATTAATCAATATTATTGTTGATAGGTGCTAAAGGGATTAGTTTACCTTTATAGCAAACAAATTATTCATAGAGGTTTTTATAATAATATATTGTTGTTATTATTGTTTAAAAAAATTAATAACAATTATTATTTTAGATATAAAACCTTCAAATATTTTGGTGACTAGAAAAGGCGAAATAAAGATTTGTGATTTTGGAGTATCGGGTAAGTTAGTGGGATCTGTGGCTGAGACATTCCTTGGTACTAGTTATTATATGGCTGTAAGTATTACTATTATAATCATAATAAAATTGCTAATATTATTATACCTAGTGTGATAAATCCGAGATATTTGTCATTTCATTTCTTGTAGCCTGAACGTATTAGAGGAGAATCTTATAAAGTATCAGCAGATGTATGGTCTCTAGGATTGACAATAATGGAAGTGGCACAGAATAAATTTCCATTTCCTTCATCAACGCCAATTGAATTGGTCACACATATTGCAACTTCACCAGCACCTAAACTTAGTGATGAGTTCCCATGGAGCGAAAACCTTAAAGATTTCTTGAGGGTTTGGTAATTATCATATTTATATAATATATGTCTGTTTTATGTTATGCTAATGTTTTTTATTTTTTATTTTTAATGAAAATATAGTTTGGAGAAGGATGGAAAGTTACGACCAACACCTAAAGAAATGCTCGATCATCCATTTATTAAAAAGTCATTAACTAAAGAAGTAGATTTAGAAAGATGGATTAAAGAAGTTTGGGAATGGAATTAATAAATCACAATGCATTCATATATTTTTATATACGTATTAATTATTAATTTTAGCTATTAAATTTTTTTAAAAAATAAAAAGAGCGTTTTAAAAAATATGACTCAGCCTAGCGTGTTAAGCAATCTATTTATATATAATTTTGTATTTAATTTTTTTTATTTTAAAAGAAGTATTTTTTAATTTTTTATATTATTATAAGTGAAAGAAAAAATCCATTAGAAAAATAAAATTATTATTTAATATTTTAAAAAATTTGTTGCAAATTTATTGTTAAAAATTATTCGATATTATTATTATATATTTTAAATATATATTATCGCTATCACTACCGCTATTACCATTAATATACTGTCACCACTATTATTATTATGCATGATATTGTTGTATTTATGTAAATAAATGAATTGATTAATTATTAATTAATAAAAAAAAATGCATTGTTGTTGTTTGTTGCTATTATTACTATTATGTACTTTTTGTATTTTAATAAATAATAATAGATTGTTTTTATTTTTATATTTAATATTATAAATAATATTATTTGCTACCTCCATGAATCGTATTTACTAACCTATATAAATAAAATATTTGTAAATAAATATATATATGTATATATTGAAATCATAATTCACAACCAAGTTTAAAATAATTTTACCAATCTAATCCTGTCTTTAGTCCTTCTAACCCTTCGTTTTTTATGGCACTTGTTGTATAGATACTCCATTGTCGATTCCTTAGTGAGCCTAATCCTAAAGCATTTGTAACATCTGCTGCGGACATCGGATTGTCTATATCTTGTTTATTGGCAAACACTAACAATGCTGCATCACGTAACTCTTCTTCGTCAAGCATTGCATGCAATTCTTCTCTCGATGTTCCTATACGGTCACGATCCCCCGAATCAACCACATATATAACTGCATCTGTATTGGCATAATAACATCTCCAATATGGTCTACCAATCATTGATTAATTGATTTAGTGTTAAGTATTTATGAATTTTTATTAATTAATTAATTTATTATTATGATTATTATGATTATTATGATTGTTATGAATGATATGCTTAATTAGTTTTCTCTCACCTTATACTTGTTTGACCTTATTTGTTAAGATTTTTTATTTTTTATTAGCATATGTAATTCTAATAATTTCAATGATTCATGATTATAATTATTATATCCTTACCTCCTAAATCCCATACTAAAAATCAAAAAGATCTATAATTAATGACGAGAACAACAACAATAATAACAATAATTGTAACTGTAATGATATGTTGATAATTTTATGTTTACCTTGAAATTTTACATTGTTATATGTTACAGTTTCAACATTGAATCCAATTGCTATCCAAAATTTAATAAAATGAATGAAATGATTAATTGATACTTAAATAAAATTATTTTATTTTATTATTTTATTATTTATTACTTGGAATAGTTGTTACTACTTCACCGATCTAATTAAATGATATGATTCAAAATATTAATCAAAGAATTAATAATGAAATCTTTTTTAATTTTTAATTATTCTTTTACCTGTAATCTGTACAATATTGTAGTTTTACCAGCACCATCTAAACCTAATATCAATATTCTAACTTCTTTTTCTCCCCATAATTTTTGTAATATTTTACTAAACATTACTCCTATAATAACAGAATTAGTTATTAATTAATAACATTGTTATATTTGCCATTATTATCATTATTATTATTTCCTTTAGTAAAAGCTCACCCATTTTTAACTATTTAATATTTGAAAATTAATATTTGAAAATTTGAAAATTTGATAATTTGAAATTATAGAATGAATTTATTTTTTTAAGATCTGTTTTAAAAGAAATTTTTTTTATATAAATTTTTTCTTTGTGATCTATTATTAGTAGACTGACTATAATAATAATATAATAAAGGAAAATAATAAAATAACCGTTTGAAAAAATTTTCTATATTTCTATTTATGAATTAAAACACGTGATCAGGGTCGATTAACTGAGGAATACAATTTAAATATCTCAAATAATCATTCAATGTGAGGATGCGAGAATGCAAGAATAATGACAATTGTAATGTTAAAGCGTAATGAACCATCATATAGAAAGGATAATTAATAAATAAACAATAGTCAATTGGGAAAAATAGATGTATAAAAAAAAGCCATTTAATAATTAAAATGATATTTTCATCGCTTGCCGCCTCACCATCATTAATAGCAATAATGAAATCCCTGAATGAAATGAATGGATCAGCAAAATTTAATAAAAAGTCAACACAACGTAAATATTTGTAATAAGCACATTTGGTTAATCGTTGTCCAGGATTTCTAGTCTATGATTGCTTTTAATGAAATTGGTAACATTGAATCAATAAATCCTAATTAAAGCTTTTTTGTTTATTAGCCGAAATTGTTTATGTGCTACTACTACGTTATTTGGGAAATATATTGTAGATAATTTCGGCTATTTGTTACTATTAATATTAATTTGGCACTATTTCAGCATTTTCGTATTCGGTGATGATCGTTGTTTCTTTTTTTTGCGTAACAAATTTTTGATCCAATTTATTCTATTTTTAGATTTATGAAAATTATTCTTTTATCAAGAAAACAGGGTCTAATATTTTCATCAACTATAATTTATATGTGGGGCATGCTGCAACAAAACCAGACAAAGTAAACATTGGTATTACCAAGAATTTCAGGGATCAATATTATTTATTTAATATCACAATTACATTACCAATGCAATGTGATCAATGATATTTGTCTAGACAAAAATAGTTAATATGAAGTTAATTTACATTAGGTCTACTATGGAACCAGTGTTGTGACCCGAAACTCCGAGTTTAGGGAAAACCAGAAACAGAAACTAACAGAAACCACCCGAAACTAGTTTAGGTTAGTAGTTTAGGTTTAGGTTTAGTTTTAGTTTTCTGCTTAGTGTAAGTTCATTTTCTGAAACGTTTCAGAAGCCAAAAGAGTTTCTGGTCACAACACTGTATGGAACCCAAGAATTATAGCACCATTAGAAATATTTTAAAAAAGGAACAAGGTGAAAAAATTGCTCTTTATATTTTCAAAATAAATGACACTCACACACTTGAAGCATATCTAGTAAAGAGAAAATCACCTATGAAATTTACCAAGAAGAAAGAAAAATAGAAAAAGAAAGCATCATAATGATGCATTATTGCCTAATACTAACAAAAAGCAAAAATCTTTAAATGGAAAATAACTACCATTTTCTTTGATAGTTGGAATGAATTTCAATTTAGAGAGGAAAATAGCCAAAAATTACTTTCTTATTTTCAACCAAGGTCATTTCTTAGTTTCCTTAACTTCAATTTGAGCAATTTGACCATTCTTTTCCTCTTTTAACTTTTTGTTTTCCTCTTCTAGTTGCTTAATTTTTTTTTCTAAACCCTTTATCTTAGCCAATAATTCTTGCTTTTGTCTTTTACTCCACTCTTCAGATTTTTCTTGAAATTTGACTACTTCTTCTCTTTCAACATTCAATTCTTCTTTGGTAGTTTTCAATTCCTTTTCAAGTTCTTTGCTAAATGAGATTCAATAGTTTGGGAAGTTCCTTCCTCTGTGGAAAGTGTTCTGAATTTTCCATCTTTCAACAAGCTACAATAACAACCTTGTCTATTTCTTTGTAGTCTGCTACAAAGTTCACAATAAGAAAGATTATCATTTCCAAAATCTTTCTTACAATCAGCACAAATAGAGCCAATATCAGCAGTAGAACCATCTTCATGGTATGCCACCAATTCGTGAGTGGTATTATCAAGAACTGGCTCATCACTAATCACACAGTAATTACAGTATGAGACAGATGATTTTGTCCTTCATCAGGAAATTTTTTCTGACACAAATTTATGTAATATTATGGGGCCACCATAAACTTATATAAATAGTGTAATATTATGCAAAAATTGCACAAAAATTACACAATTATTACATTCAGTGTAAATATTACGTCCTTTTTATGTGAAATATTACAACATTTCATATTAAAACTTACAGATGTAATATTACGATGGGAAAAGTTTCCTGATGTTTCAAGAATCTTATATTCTAATTTCTCCATAACAATCTATTACTGCTTTAAAATGTGACTTTCAAACTCTTGCAAAATGTAAGTTTCGAAATTTTCTTTAATTGCATTAACTTTCTTTTTAAGTTTTTGAACTTTCTCATTAACTTTTGTCTTTGCTTTTTTTGTTAATCTTTTAATTAGCTTGATTTTATCTTTTTTCTGATAAGCTTTTAATTTCTTTTTTAATTGGTCATTCTCTATTCTCTGTTTGATGATACTAGCATCTCTCTTGCATCAGGAAACTTTTCCCGCTGTAAATTTACATAATATTATGGAGCCTGCCATAAACTTATGTAAATAGTGTAATATTATGCAAAAATTGCACAAAAATTACGCAATTATTACATTCAGTGTAAATATTACGTCCTTTTTATGTGAAATATTACATCATTTCATATTAAAACTTACAGATGTAAACTTGCGTCAGAAAAAATTTCCTGATGTTCATATTCTCTACAAAAACTTTTCTGTCATGTCATTTTTTAGATAGATCCAGTGCTTCCAAGTTAGTTTCAATTTTGATATCTACTCTTTCTTCTAATTCTTCTATTCAGTTATCTTTTTCTTCTAACTTTGCTTTTAATTCTTCAACCTCCCTTTCCAATTCATTTATTTTAGCAAATTTTTTATCAGCATTAATAACTAACTCATTTGAGACACCAATTAAATCATCTAGAGAAAGATTTCTAAGGTCATAATAATCATAACAACTTCGTTTGATTGAATTTCATCCTTCATATCCTTTTTCTAATATTCCCTTTAGAGTCAAATTATCTTCTATTTTGCCCTCTCTTAATCACTTTCTAAATAATTCTTTGCTTCAGAGTTTAATTTGATAAGGTTAATAAAGATATCTCTTTTAGCCTTATCTCTTGCTTGGTAAAGTTTCATTGTTTGCTTATAATAAGGAAGGTAACTATAAGCATTAAAAATTACTCTTCTATGGGCTACTTCAGTAGTGTGAGATAGTAAATCTTGGGCCTATCAATTACCTGGTTAATATTGACCAATTAGAATGAATTTACTATGGAAGTCATTAAAGACTAGTGCCATAATCCAAAAAAGGAAAAAGTATGGTTGCAAAAGTGGTTGCAAAGGTAATTGCAACCACTTTTATATGCTGTAAATACAATTACTACCATAATCATAATTTATGGCACTAGTCTTTAATTTCAATTAAATTACTAGGGATGAATCATGCAGTGTTGCAAATTCAATTCAAAAAAATCATGATCGTGATCTTTCTTCAAGAAAGAAATTAGGGAGTTGAGTTGATTCTATCATAAGGACATGCTATGGCAAATCTTCTATTACTTTAGAATATGGTGGTTCCGAGGTAGCAAAGAACTATGAAGGAAAGAAATCTACAAAATGGCTCTCTGAAGCTGATTTAAAATTGCCTAAGGTTCTCAAAGACATGCTTTTGCTATTAAACAGTCATGTTTCTGATATGAATGAAAGAAGGAAACTCGTAACTGTTGGCTACATCCATGGGGGTCTTCAACTTATGTTTATGACTTTAGATAATCCTGCTGGATATGTTTTCTGTCTTGTAAAAAGTTCATTATACAGTATTCCTGTTTCTTTCCAAAATTTTACAGAAGCACTGGAGTTGATTGCTGCTGTATGGACAATGAAGGTGAATACTTTTATTACATTTATTATAGCTAATGGTTTTTCAATCTTTGAAACTTACAGATTGCCCTTTTAGATGAGAATTTCAAATATAATATCAATAATTAACAAGCAAAAGCCTGTGAAATTTGGTGATCCAATGATAAAGGAGCTGATCAAGAAAATCAAAACACTAATATCTCAAAAAAAAGATCTATATCAAAAAATGATAATACTCCGATTTCAAACAAGAGAATAAATATAAATGATTGATTAATAACTGATGATGATAAAACAAATCAGTTTCAACAATAATATAAGATTAATAATAATAACACAATTTGCTCTTTTTAATGAATTTTAAAATCTTCAATTTATTGTTGATTTAAAAATCACATCATTTGACTTCAAAAGTTTTTTTAATTAAAACAAATAACATTGTTATTATAGTGATGTGATTTTATTTTTATATTTATATTATTGGTTTTATAATAAAATATGAAACAATGAAATTGATCAAAGAAAATGGCAAGTTTCTTTTCAATTATTCAATCCATTTGATCCAATCTATAATTTTGTAGAAAATTGTGCATTTTATCAGGAGATGGAAACATATAATGTATGTATGCCCTGCACAAATGTGGGTAATTCACATGTAATATGCACTGAATAACATGTATTAGTGTATTAGTATATATATTTTTATACATATAGTCAAACTTCACCATAGCAGATTCATGGTTCCAGCCAAAAAAATCCATTGTAACAAGAAATCCACTGTGGTGTGGTCCGTTATGGCAAGGTTAGACTGTAGGTATTATATACTAATAATTCGATAAATTTTTTATTGAAAGATACTGATGATGATGCCAACAATATACTAATAAGAATTTGTTAGGATCCCAAAATCATCTTCATCCTCCTTTTCCACGTTTATATTCAACCAACAACAACAACAATAATATTTATTCTATTAGTCATGACTTTGTCAACAATCAGTCAAAAAATTTTTTCTTGGCCTCAAAACAAAAATGATGAAAAGAAGAAAAGACTATCACCATCATCACTATCTGCATCAGAATCTGATTCACATAATAAACATCAATCAAGAGAATCAGAATGATAACATAACTAAAGAATTAAAAACCTTTATTCTAATTAATAAAATGAAAATGAATTAGGGAGATGGGGAATTTTTAATTATATTAGCTACTCAAAATTTTCAAGAATTTGTTATAAATTTCTATAAACAAAAAAAATTTTTAGAAAATTGCCATACATGTCAATGATAATATTGCAATCAAAAAAGAGCCCTATATTATTTAATCATATGAAAGCAATTATGAATAAAGATACACAACATAATAAACTCAACGACCAAATAGAACTTCTGATACTTGAATAATTATACCAATATAATGGTAGGTAAATCTATATATTTTTGTTGTTGAAAAAGAGAAGCACAATAAATAAATAAATATTATTAAAAGAAAAATTCTTAAATAAAAATATTAATTGATTGAGTAAATACTTACAATTCTGGCCACAACATAGACAATACATAATACATTTGCAGCAATAGCATGAGCTTTATATTTTTCACTTCGGACGTTTTGACTCTCGATTAGATGTAAGACTTGAGATATTGCTTGTGTTATTACTGATATTGAAAACATAGATAAACCTTCAAACGTGTTGTTTGACGCAGCGACTGCTCTTTTGCCCCAATCCGGCTATAAATAAATAACAATAACAATATTATTATTATTACTACAACTAATACTATCGAATTGAACGGAATCATTTTTTTACCAAATTTTGATATTGTTCTCTTGGATTAGAATTATTGTAACCTTCCTCCTGTCTTAATTGTGCTCTACGAACTGGTGTTAAAGATACTACCCATAATAGAAATACTATAAATACACAAGCGAACTGAGTTGTAAAATCTGAATAAGTGAATGCCATTTTTTTTCTTATTTTGTCATGAAATTTGATTAGAGTAATAGTTTGTCAATGGATTTTTTTTGCTTGTTAAAAGTAATGCTGTTCGGATATTACATACCAAGTTAGGAATGGTTATCATATTTAATATTAATATATAGTTAGTTAAAAATTATGTTTAAACAAACTTGTGCTTTATAAGATTAACAAGAACAATCAATCAATAATTTCTTTTACAAAAAATCCGTTTCTGTAATAAACATTTCATAATCTTTTACCAGTAGAGTTTAATTGTCCATTTGGTTATATAGTGGTATAGAACCTTGAGGTTTTGTAATTCGGGTTTGTTTATTTGCTTTAGTTTGTGCTTATTTATTTTAGTAAAAAAAGCAAAGGTTTTGGGTTTTGGTTAAACGTAAGGCTTTTGTTTAAGTTTTTGTAAGCAGATGATTTAAAACTGATTAGTAAAAGTATCAAGTGTTAATATTATGATTTGATGTATTTTTTTAAGAATTTTATTAAAATGATGCTACTTCAACATTTAAACCATTGTGATTATTCTCGCATTTCTAAGGTTAATCTGGCTAGTGATACAACAATGCAATTAAATTTCATGACGTGGCTCTGGAATTGTCATTGTCAAGGAGACCGCTAAAGTCTCTCATTTGTCCAAAGTCTTCCAACTTGTGAGGTTTCACCCATGGAAAAATTTTCATGGGGACGAAGCATGCAAAGAATTGGATTGAATGTTTGTAGGAGGAAACTTATTAAATTAGACACCTGCGATCAATATCAGTCAAATTTATTTTTCTTTTTTTGAGATTTTGGAAGAAGCTCTACAATTTGTAATCGGTAAGCGTACATGCATGACACACATGTATAATACACACACAAGGGAATCAAGATCACTAAAGTTTTTGAAATATATCGACATCTTAACATCTTAATACATATGATAAGCAGCTTGGGGATGTAATTATCTTGTTAATGTATGAGTTGGAGTTTGTATTGATGCAAATATCAAGGGAATTATATGAGATTTGCAGATCACCATGACAGTAAGCACAGTAAATCATAATCATAACCTTTTCTTCTATTATTCCTCTTCTACACTTTCCAACATATTATATTTTCATTGGTGATCAATTATACGTTGTTTATAATAAGATATGGCATGTTCTTTATGCAGCTCACTCAAGTCTTTTAATCCTTTAATTATTACTATTATTATTAATTATTTCTAATAACCTTGTTAATTGTTAAAGGCCCATGTACAAATACTTGGTAATTATAGTGAAGCATATTGGAAGAATGAAAATAAATATGATTTTATAATAATGAATATTAATGTTTATTTAATTATTTATTTAAACTTATCTTTTACACTTTAAGTATATTTAATCTTTAACCTTGACCTTTCTCGTCCCCTCATTTTCTTTTCTTCGCCTTCTTTTTCACCACTTTTTTTTAAGCACCTTTATATTTATATTTTAATTTTTCTAAACTTTGGATTCCTTGTTCAGAATCTTTAATCATATACAGCACCATAATAACTGATAATAATAAACCAATTGGTATACACCACCATAACTTCTCTTCAATTCTTATTGAATTGTCATTACCATAATCATTATCATCATTATCATTTCCTTCCTTTTTATTCTGACTATTCTGACTCTGACTATTGCTCACAGATAATAGAATTGGTATGATTGATATAAAAGTGATGAAATAAATTTTATAAATTATATTATTATCTTCAGTTGATTTCTGCAACAATAATAGATATATTATTGAGATGATTGAAGTTATTGAGAGTAGAGTTGATATTGTTGGATATGGAGTCTTGGAATATATTTTTTCCGATGTTGGTAATGGAATTACTAATAATGAAGAAGTTGGTGATGATATTGTTGGTGAAGATGTCATTATCTCATATAAAAATATCAAATATCTATAATATTGATAGATATATATATTAGTGTTATAAACGTTATGGTTATGCCATGTATATTTTCTGTACTTACAGAATCATTATTAACAGAGCAAAGAATGCCATTAATTTCTACATGTTGTGATTGATTAGTATTAGTGTGTTAATGATAACAGACCAGTCAAAAAAGTATGTTTTTCTCAAACCTTGAAGTAAGTATTTGAACGATCATTTTGTAAACGTAATTCTTCGACAATTTGATCTTGTTCTTCTCACATATATACACAAAATTCACACAGAAAACAAATTTTTTTCAAGTAAGACAATGAATGTAATAGATAATAAGCAATATCAGTAGAAATAGTTATGGTAGTAAAAACCTTGCTCATCTAATACTTCAACTGTTTCTTTATCCGTTTCAAGTAGTGAATGTCGTTTTTTTAAACCGTCCATTATTAATAGAAATTACAATGTACCTTTTTATAAGGTCACACAGTATAACAAGTTTACCTTTTCAATAGCCAATAAAGCAGGGTTGGCAAATGTGCGGCGGTCAATTGATGGTCTATTGGTGGTCCATTGGGTCCATCAGTGTAACACTTTAACCATATTTAGTATTTTATTAATGGCAAT